AATGTCCAGAGGACCAGATTGAACTTTTTTGGATTTTGTTTTGATGAATAATTGCAAAGCATTTCACTTCAACAGTAAAATAATGCTCTATAGTGTCGTTATTCAGTAAATACACTTTGTGCTGCGATCGTATGAAACAAATTTAAATTCTGTGGTTGTTGTAGTCGACCTCGTCCCGACCCAACACCGCTCCAGGGAAGATGCAGAGGCCGGTGCGCCTGAAGCCGATCCACAGTAACAGCACCACAGCTTCGCTCAGGCGCAGCTCAATTTACAGAGTCTACAAGTCTCCGCACGAGGACGAGCAGCCGTCCAACTGCACCGTGAGGAGCACACAGAAATCATCTAACGTTCTAGTTTTTAAAGATTCACACAATTTATTTAGGTCTTGTTTGCCTTCCAACTTTTTGAGATTATTGATGGTGAAAATATTTAAATCACTTGTATTCAAGTTATTACACATTATATTTAAATGTACATGTTTTAATAAGCTGTTGAGTTTGATCACATTGAATGTTTTTGCCTAGATGGACAAAAAGCCGCGCAGGCATTTGACCACGATGGAGGCCTTTCATGGCACCTCGCCCCACTACCTCCCAGCCATCAACAACTTTTTCACACCAGTGCCTCCAGCAACAAAGAAGAAAGAGGGGGGTGTAAAGATCACCCCCAGCAGCACTATCAGAGGCCGCAGGCTGCGCCCCACCACTTCGCCCAGCGGAGCTGAAGTCAGTAGCCTCTTTAAGTCCTCTAGTGCTTTCTCTGCTATGAAAAAAAATCAGAAACAACTTTTTATTATTTAATGTTGCATATATAAGATGAAAATAAGAGATAGAACTTTATTTATCCCACAGGAAATTGATGCGCCAGAGTTTTAGTACAAAGGAACATACACAAGGAATCACATAAGATATAAAAAGAACAGAGAATATAAAAATACTATATATATATATATATATATATATATATATATAGATATATATATATATATATATATATATATATATGTATATGTATGCCCATCTTTACCCGCTTCTTCCTTTTCGGGTGATGGGGTTCATGGTGCCCATATCCAGCAGTCACTGGGGGACACCCTGGGCAGGTCTCCAGTCCATCACAGGGACAAACGAGACAACCAACCATTCACTCTCTCACTCACACATATGGACAATTTAGAGTTACCAATCAGACTAACATGCATGTTTTTGGTCTGTGGGATGAAACTGGAGTACCTGGAGAAAACCCACATGCACAGAGAGAACATGCAAACTCCACCTAGAAAGGTCCCCGGCCAGGATTTGATCTGGGGACCTTATTGCTGAGAGGTGACAGCTCTACCAACTGCACCACCGTGCATATAAATCAGAGTCAGTGTCAGAGTTTCTTTATTGTCATTCACATCAGATGTGGTGGAACGAAATTGTGTACTCAAGGTCCCAGTTACACCCAAAAACATACAGTATAAAAGGAAACAGTGTGTAAGGATCTATATACACTAAGATATACGCTAAACGCTAATAATGTACAACAATACGGTATATTAAACAGTAGCCCGAACATGAGTCTGTAGTGAGCAGATAGGTTTGAATTATTATGAATTATATTTTTTTACACAACAAACTTAGAGGTGTCAAAATATTATTAGGAATCTTACATCTGCCTTATTTTACTGCACAAATTATAAAATATTTGGAAAATAAAAGCATCGAAGGTATGATGCAAAACAAATACAGTCAGTTTAAATTAGGATTTATAAAGTTAAAGTTATGTCAAACTTTGGAAGCTGAAGTTACTTCTTTTGCCCCTCAGGTCCCTCCATGGTTGAGGAGCTCTGTTCACCAGACCAAAGTGTGCATGAACATGGTGTACTTTGGTAAAACGGTGCACCTCACCAACGACCTGCTGGACCTGAGGGATGAGGTCAAAGTATTTCAGCAGCACTGTGGAGGAGAAAATCTCTGCGTGTTTAAGGGAAATCTCCTTGGGGGAGGTGAGTGTGTGTAAATGAACACAAACCAAACATAGGCCCATCTTACAGGGTCTGGGACTGTTTGTCTCTCTCTTCCTCCTCAGAGACGTTTCAGTTCATCTCAAGGCGACACAGAGGGTTCCCCTTCAGCTTGACCTTCTTCCTGAACGGGCTGCAGGTGGAGCGACTGAGCTCCTGCTGTGAGTTCAAGCACAGCAAACGCTCCCGACTTGGCGGAAGACATGGACACTTTGGTTTTCTCAGCGCGGAGGGGGCATCCCCCTGTTACAAGTAAGATATTCAGGTTTGAAGGCGTGCTTTGGTTTTAAAATCAATTCAAAACACTGAATTATCTACGACCACTTTGTCATGTGGAGGATCGTGAGCGTTAGAAGTTATCTGTTGGGGAATTTTTGTCAAAGGTTATGAATGTTTTTAACTACTATGAGTGAGAATGTTAACTCTGCCCATGAACCATATGTTTGGGTTAGCAGAGAGAGCTTGGTCAAGCTGCAGCGTGCAGCTGGCACTCCAAAGATACCTCTGAGTCTGTGAGCAACTATAAACTTATAAAAACAAGCTTCACACACTGCGCGTGCAGATTATTGTCTTCGTGCATGTACTTCCTGTATATCTGTGTAACTTGTCTTGAAAATCTGTCCTTGCAAGTAAAATATCAGTTAAAAATCTTCTGCTGTCGACTGCGGCTCCTTATGAGTAAGTAAGATGAACGGAGAACATTTTTCTCCAACAGTATCCTTGTTTGTATGGACTAACAGGAAAATACACTCGTGTTATCACTGGGCTAAACCAAAATTAATATATTTATGTCTAATGTGGTCTGAAAAATAACCCAACACATTTGTTTAGACCAGTGGTTCCAAAAATTTGAATATTACTGATTTAAGTTAGCAAATGTAGCTAATAAACATATGGCATCTGTTAAGTTCCTGGCAAAAACCAATGCAGACATGTTCCTGTTTTTAGTTTTCTAAATTGCCTTATAATCTAGTTGTTTTTTTACTACTATTCCTCTTGATTGTCCTTTTGGTTGCAATTTTTTTTGATAGTTTTGATTTGTAAAAAAAAAAAAAGAGAGAGAGAGAGAGAAACTTAAATTTGTATATGCCCAGGCATCTGCAACTTTTCCGATCAAAACAGCCATTTTTACATCTTCATTCACTAAATTAAATGTGTTCAGGGCCGCAACAACCTGCTACAACTCAACTGGTGCCCCGTGGGCCACTTTAGGTTTGTTGGAGGAGACTTTTGTGGCCAGTACGGGTGACATTATAAAGCTAAAAAAAAAAAATCTAATAATTTTTGTAGTGAGTCACGTGAGGTACGTGTCACTTGTTGTATGACAAATATATGAATTATATATGCATACAATATTCACGAGTTCTTCATTTTTCTGACTGTAAATGCCGTGCATTGAATTTAACAGAAATGTGAACGAGAGACGTTATTTATCTTTGACCCATCAAATGAATGGAATCATTTATTTTCAAAATCAAAGTTTAACATCAAACATTTACATTAATTTGGCAAAATATGAAAATAATAACAGACAGTTTCACAGAAAATGAACTTCAAATCACTCGGCGGTGATTTGAGGACTTTGCTTCAGACATTTCTAAAAATATCTGTACTGATTTATGAGAGAGAAGAGTTTAAGATTAAATTGAGATTTATCTTACAGAGGAAATGTGTGAGGGAATTTAATCTGTTTGACCAGAAGTTGCACGCTCCGTCCGATCTCAGCTTCTCACGGTACACTTGGTCAAAATAGAACCATCTACCTGTTGATGATGAATCAGCGTTGGATGTAGTTCCTTTCTGACTCGTTTCAGCGTCTCCGTCGAGAGCTACCAAACCTTCAGAAAGTCGTGCGTTGATTAGCTCAAAACAGAATTATAATCCCCAAAAAACCTCTGGATTCTTCATTGCTCTGAAGCTTTCAGAACCGACTGCACTCTCAATCTTGGAACTCTCACGTTCTCCAGAACTCTCAATCTGTTGTCAGCTCTCATTCTAACTTGAACTGGGCAGTTGTCACATTTTAAAATGAGTTTACTTCCTGTTCAGTTTAGAGCTTTCTGATTCGTGGAAGGACCAGAAAGAGGTGTGTTTTTGACGTAAGGTGTTTATCAACAGTCGAGGTCAGAGAATGAAACTTGTTTAACATACAGAAAAGATTATTGCAGAAGCAGCAGACTTTCTGGAGTCTACTCTTGGTAATCTTCTGAAAAAGTTTAAACATGACATTTCTTCTTCAGTAAACATTTTAGTTGACCGAAGACCAACCTTTCACATACTTACGACAGCTTGCTCATTTCAGACAGAAAATCAAGAAAGGCATATTCAGGTGATTTCTTCTCTGAATGAGGAACAAAAATCATTACTTACTGTTTATGTAAAATAAAAATTAGTAGTTCTTTTCAACCTGTAAAGCATTGAGTGAACTAACACAATTTGATTATCAAAACATTTGTAAGACAGTAATGATTATAAAGAATTGTCTTTTCTGCATGATTAATTCAAGAAAGAAAGTTCATCAGATGGCCCAGACTCATTCAGATCAATGAAAATAACAGTCTCTGTCCATCTGGTAGATTTGAGGTCATCTGGTTCACTACATTTTTAACATTATTAATATTTTTACAATTTAAGACAAAGAAATAGACCAGATTCTTGTAAAGAAGAGGAAAATAGTTTTTTAATAAAAATAAATAAATAAATAAAAAATTACGAACTATGCAGACTCATGTGATTTTTTTATTTTATTGTGGAAAAAATGATTAAAGTATAGAAATAAAACAAAAAATTAAGGTGAGTATTTGCAAAAGAAATGACAGGAAAACTGCTAAAACTCATCCTTTTCTGTTGTTTGTATAACAACCAATACAATTTAGTTTCATGTCAGTTTTGGTCAAAGCTTGAAAGAGCTGCTGCGGAGGGACCAAAGAGCTGCATGTGACTCCAGAGCTGCAGGTTGCAGACCCCTGCCTTTCACTGTTGACATCACTCTTTGCTAAGAAATCAGGTCTCTCTTGTAAATGAGTCCCCGGGGCTCAATGGGATTAACCTGTATAAATAAAGGTTGAATGAAAAATAATTGGTTTGAACAAGAGCATAATAACCTAATAGACTTTATAATTATACAATGTGTGTTTAAGTTTATTATTATAATTTATTTTTAATCATTATGGTGAAAGAAATTCCATCAGCAATCTGTTTACAGTACTTTTAATTTGCTCTGCATGTTGTTAAACATTTAAATTTACTTACATAAGTAAACACTTGATTCAATAACTATTTTAGAGAGCACGGCACAACAAGAAGTAGTGCTAAGCTAGCGGCGGGCCATACAGACACACTAGCTAAGATGCTACAGACTTAGCGCTCTGCTTTACATTACACAACTTAAACTCTTTGTGCAAAATCAGTTTAGTTTTAACAGATCATAACAAGGACAAAATTTATGCAACCAGAAGTTACAACAAATATCTATATAAAACACAAAACAAAGCACAACTAACTTTAATCATTAACCTTTAATTAATGCTTAACGCTAGTTAAAAGCTTTAAGCATTAACCTTTGATTTAACCATTAAGCATAAAACTTAATTATGACAGAAAATGGAGGATTTACCTGCAGTTACCTTTGTACAGATGAACATGTGGTACTTCCTGTTTATCACTGTGGTATTCAGCTGCTCATGAAGTCAGCTGCAGGGCTTTATCATCTTTTACATTTTCCAGACTCAGTTTAGGTTTTGGAAATGGAATAAACTTTATCCCACCCTCTAAAGCAGGATATTCTACTAAACTGCTCAGGGAGTCACAGTTACTGAAAACCAGCAGCTCAGGGACCGGACATCCAGTAATTAAAGTCATTATGTAAATAAACCGGGCAGCACGGTGGCGCAACTGGTAGAGCTGCTGCCTCTCAGCGAGCAGGTCCTTGGTTCAAACCCTGGTCCGAGGGCCTTTCTGGTTGGAGTTTGCATGTTCTCTCCGTGCATGCGTGGGTTTTCTCCGGGTGCTCCGGTTTCCTCCCACAGTCCAAAAACATGCATGTTAGGCTGATTGGTAACTCTAAATTGTCCCTAGGTGTGAGTGAGAGAGTGAATGGTTGTTTGTCTCGTTTGTCTCTATGTGTCCCTGTGATGGACTTGCGACCCGTCCAGGGTGTACCCCGCCCCTCGCACAGTGATTGCTGGACATGGGCACCAGCGACCCCCGTGACCCAAAATGGAATAAACGGGTAAAGATAATGGATGGATGGATGGATGTAAATAAACCAAGTATTACAATGATCTGTTACCTTTTACATTGGTTTATTTTTTTGCATTGAATCATAAATCTAATAAACAGAACCCAAAACCCAGAACTGCCCAAAAAAATCAATCTACTTTATTTTTCAAGGCTGCTGAGTTAAAACTTAGTGGTGCTTGAGCACCCCCAAAAAGAGGCTAAAATCACCACTGGTCATAACAAATACAAGTTCATTTAATCTGGTCTTTTTTCACATAAACAATAATGTAAATGTACATGTTTGTTTGTGGGCAGCACGGTGGAGCAACTGGTAGAGCTGCTGCCTCTCAGCGAGCAGGTCCTTGGTTCAAACCCCGGTCCAGGGGCCTTTCTGGGTGGAGTTTGCATGTTCTCTCCGTGCATGTGTGGGTTTTCTCCGGGTACTCCGGTTTCCTCCCACAGACCAAAAACATGCATGTTAGGCTGATTGGTAACTCTAAATTGTCCCTAGGTGTGAATGAGAGAGTGAACGGTTGTTTGTCTCGTTTGTCTCTATGTTCCTGTGATGGACTTGCGACCCGTCCAGGGTGTACCCCGCCCCTCGCACAGTGATTGCTGGACATGGGCACCGGCGACCCCCGTGACCCAAAATGGAAGAGGCGGGTAAAGAAAATGGATGGATGTTTGTTTGTATTCCTAATGAAAAAGAAAAGGTTAAATTACTTACTACAAGTTAATTTCTAAAAAACTTTTATTTGCCTCCTTTGAAGTTTGTGATTGTTTTCAGATGCATCATCGCGATGGGGCTCGACAAAAAGCCAACTCCTCCACCAAAGAAAGGGAAAGAAGACAATGCACAAGAACAATCAGCCAGTAGTCCATTAGACGCTCCTGAGCGAGACACAGAAAGGACTGGGGACGACGCTGCCTCTGAAACTGGTCCATCACGTGACCCTGAGGCTAAAACCCAGGAACAAACAGCACCTGGGAGAGACAAAGCCAGAGACGGTATGAGACCCGACACAACTAAAGCATGTATCCTACAGCCAGACGAGTTTTCAGTTTGTAATTTTCCTCTTCAGATTATGAAGAAGACTTTGAAGCAGATGACGAAGGCCCTGTAGAAGAGGAAACAGGAAAAGGAGAGAACTCCCCATCTCCATTTAAGGAAACTGAAAAGCTGAATCAAGAAGAAAACACCTCTGAAACTGATACTGATGAGGAGGAGGATGGTGAGTCAGTCTCTTCCTTTGAGCACATCAATCCAAAACAATTTAGCCATTATTTTAAACATTTATAGAAATTTATAGATAATTCACAATTTGCAGAAGTTTATTTTCCTTCATTGAGAGGTGATACTTAATACACTTTGGTGTTTTGAAGATTTAACTTAAAATGCTCAATTCTTTTGCACAGGAGACACAATGTCTCGCTCAGGTTCAAGCGTTTCAAGTGACGACCAGGAGGAAAGTGATGCTGAAAGCGTCAAAGACTCCATGAAGGACGAGAAAGCAGGTCAACTCAAAGAGGACGATCAGGAGGAAGCAGCTGCTCCGAACGATCAAAGTGAGGAACCAAAATCAGAAGAAACTGCAGCCACAAAGGTCGAGACTACTTGTGACAGCGCCGGGGACAGCACGGGGATGGAAATGCCTGACAGCAGCGCCACATGGAGTGTGAATAAACAGGGGGGTGGCACTTCAGAGGACAAAAACAATGAGGAAACTGAAAATGAGACCAAAGCGGACGATGAACAGGACAGGGGTGAGTGTGAGCCTCTAAGTTAGAATGAATAAAATGATCTTCTGTGGAGCTTTGTCCATCATTTTCACACCCAGAGTTAAAGATGAGCACACCACATTGTAAATATGCATTGTAGTTCAGCAATACAGGAAATAATTATACATAACTCTTGGCACAGCATTATCAGCTAAATTCAACAGAATAAATAAAAAGAATAAACAATGCTGTTTACAACTTTATGGTGGAAATCTGTTTTTTGTGTGTTTCACAGCTTTTTTTTCTTGTTTCTTTTGTGTTTGAGATCCTCTGCCTGACTAGTTTTTGTTTAACTTTTTTCTTCTTCTGATTGCAATCATAGTGTTTAAGGATGGGAAAAAAATTATATTTATTTTACTTTCCTAAAGCTAACTTGGAAGTTTGAATTAAAAAAAAGTCCATAAAATGTAAAAAGCTTTGTAGAAGTGTTACCTAACAAACAGTTTATGGAGTGAAATTGCAATTAGAAAAGAGGAAGGATTATATTTACCATGTATGTGTGTGTGTATGCATATATATATATTTTTTTTTTTTTCTTTTTTTTTTTCTGAAAAATGTATTGAACAAAATGTGTTGAAAATGGAGCTTCCAGGGAGGAGTAGAAGAGGAGGACTAAAGAGGAGGTTCATGGTAGGGGTAGAGTGATGGAGGGTAAAGCTCTGCTCTAGAAAGTAGCCGAAAAAGAAAGTTCAAACTGTGCAGCTGTGAGGAGGAACTGCATATTTTTTTAATTTCCACTCAAACAAACGTGTTATGCTACTGATTCCAAGAATATTTTAGGGTTTGGTTTGTAATTATTATATATCATATTATGTTAACAAAAAAACATACTGGTGACTCTAAATGTGTCATGATTGAGTGTTGACTGATATTTAAAATAACTTCATCTGACTCCTGTAGGGTTCTAATCAAGCTAACTTTGGCAAAATTATACTTTTATTTGTTTTAATCTTGCTCGGCCATACCAGATTATTATTTCTTGATTTTCTTTAGAATAAATTACATCACAGTTGATGATGGTGCAGAGTTTAGAGAAGGTGATCTGGTGATTGTAAGGTCGCTGGTTCGATCCTCCAGACCAACAACCTCAAAATGTGTGTGGGATAGGTGAAGCACCCACACCTGCCTCCACCCTAATTTGCCCCACTTTGAGCCCTTGAGCAAGGCCCTTAACCCCATCTGCTCCTCCGGGCACCCTAGACAGCAGCTCTCTGCTCCAAACAGAGGGCTGTGGTAGCTCGGTGGTCTGTGGTTGCGTCAAGAAGGGCATCCGGCGTAAAATCAATTTCCAAGTCTTCGTACAAGTTAGTTCACTGTGGCGACCCCTGAAAAGGGAGCAGCCGAAAGAAGAAGAAAAAAGTTATTTCCTTTTTGAGTCTGCCATTACTTAAAAAAAAATCACCACGAAATTCATTTCTTCTGTATTCATCATTTTCAATCAAATGTGTCTGAGTTCCTGTTGGATGATTTTCATGAACAAAGTCAGCTGTTGATAGATGATGGACCAAAACATATTTGTTTCTTTTGTTTAAAAACTTGTGTTCTTTCTCTGGTTGTACACTTGTTTCTCCATCTTGTTTCACCTTTTGCATGCTGTGCTGATTTGCTTTCTTAGTTTTGTTCACGAATAAGTGAAATAAATTTGTTTCTGTGTTTTGTCTTTGTTTTGATCCTTCATGTTGTATTTGCTCAAATCCAATCATATTTAATGCAACTGTTGGACTCAGTTTCTTTACCACATGAATCATGGGACTTTGCATTTCTCAAGCCAAATCTGTGCAGGAGAAGCTGGCAGAAGCCATCTTGAAGGAGTCCCAGTGCAGCTCTGAGCCTGAACTGAGCGACTCCAGTACAGAGGAAGAGGAGGGGCCCACAGCTGCACACCCTAAACAGGAGAACGAAGGTACTGGAACTACTTTTGTTTTATTTAAATTAGCTAACACTAGGGCTGAACGATTTAGGAAAATATTCTAATTGTGATTTTTTTTTTTACATCAATACTACGATTGCGATTTAATGTGTGATTAGTTTCAATGAACACAAACAATAAATCTGTTTCAGTTGTAAAAAACTCCAGTTTTCAGCTCTGCTGCAACTCTGTTTCTGCATTTTTCGTGTAGCTGGATATCAACTTGACTAAAATGTGTGCGCGACCGCTTATCCATGGTGTTTACCAAAGCTGTAAACTCAGGCTTGGTCACTATATTAATGGGCATCATGTCTTTCACTTTGAACTCCGTTATTGCTCGAGTTATTTCCGCATACAGTTTCAAATTATGTTCATACGGAGTAATCCCTTCGAGCAGTTCGGTCAGTGATCCCTGTCAGTTGGCACTTTACTTACTTTAAGTTGAAGCACTGGTCGTTGGCATTCTAACCATTCAACTATCATAAATGGCTTTGTGGTGTTTTTTAAAGTGTTGATAAAGATGTGTGGTGTTACCTCAAGAGGTAGCAACAGCAGCAAGGCAGGTTCTGCACAAAACATGTCGTTGTGCAGCGTCTTCTTTTTTATAGCTAAAATAATTCCGAACAACGGACGTGCTGCTCCTCTTTGGAACCAAACTTTCAGATGTATCAGCTTCTGTCGAGCCTGACGCCATTGTGAAACCGGTTAAAGCGCAGTTTTTACTTCTACTCCCTGCTCTGCTCACTGGCAAGTCACATAACCAGATCACGTGAACAGTCAAATTGCAGCCTTTGTGATTAGAACATCTCGTGTTAAAATATTGCAATATTATCGCAAATGCAATTAATCGTTCAGCCCTAGTTAACATGCTACACAACACTTTTAAATACTTTTTCTGCAAATTAATCCCCCAGAAAATCTCTTTCTTTTGTCAGAACAAGAGCAGACTGTTGTAGAAGAGACAAAACTTGAGGAAAAAGCTACTGATGAAGAGGCACGGGAACTGGAAGAGTCGCCTGGAGCAAAAGAAGTGGATGTGCAACAGCCTCTTGACAACAGTGAAAGCAACAAAGACGACAAGGTCAACGAGGCTGAGGGAGATGAAAGGGCTGCGGAGGATGAAGTCACAGCAGAGCGAGATCAACCTGAGGCATCTGGTGAAACCCAGCTTCATGTAGACAACGAGAACATGGCACAAGATAACAAGACTGAAGATTCCTTTGACTTAAGTAAAGCTTCTGAATCTGAGGCTTTAGAGAACGACGAAGGAGAGAAAATTGTTGTGGAGGCTGTCGTTCATACTGATGACATGGGGCAAAGGGCGAAAAGCGAAACAGAGGATGAGTCATCAGCATTCGAGCTGAACAAAGAGACCGATGAGAACACTGAGGCGGAGGCGACAGCAGCTAGCGAGACAATGGACATCAAAGCAGAGTCCTCGGAGGAGCAGGAGGCCCTCAGCGGAGGAGAGGTGCCTGAAAGTGATGCAGAGAGGAGGCAGCAGGCAGACAGCGAGGGCAACACAGCAGCACCAGAAAATGAAGTCACAGCAGAGGAATCAAGCAGCTTGCCTGAAGAGGCTGGAGACTGCACAGATGAAAAGCCAGCAAACAAGTCTGAGGAAACCATGAAAGATGAGGGCGATGAAGATGGAATTAAAGAAGCAGCTCAGGAACAAACGTCAGAAACTGATGAACGAAAGGATGACAGCGAGCAGGAAAAGTGTGAGCAGGAGGAAGAGAACATGGAAATAACTGCAGAAGTACATGAAAATACAAACGAGCCGAAATCTGAGGAAGAACAAACTCACCAAAGTTCAGAGATAACGGGAGATGAAAACATGCAGGGAGCAGAACAGATCAACACAGAAGAGATTATTGGTGAAAGTAAGGAGGATGATCGTTCTGACAAAAACACAACCAGAAACTACAACGACACTGAAGAAGCTGCTCTAGATCCTCTTGATGAGCAGAACAAAGCTGAAGATACCAAGAACACAGAAGAACAGGAAAAGACTGATGAGGGCAGTGAAAGTGGAACGAAGGAACCTGAAGCAGGAGGAGAAGAGAAAGAACAAACAGTTGAGACAAGCGTCGCTTCTGCAGAAAAAGACGACGGAGCAGGGAAATCCGAGAAAGACGAAAGTGAGGACAAAGTTACAGAATCTGAACATGATGAAAAACATGAAGAGAGAAAAGATGTAACTGAGAGAGAAGGAGAAGAGATGTCTGAGATTACAGAGGGACAAGAGAAAAGTGAAGATACGGAGGAAGAGAAAATAAAAGCACGTGTTGAAAATGTTGCTGGGTCAGAGGATGTGTGTGACAGTGAAGCAGCCGGTGAGACTCAAACAGCTGAGGGGGTGCAGAACAGTCCACAGCATGAAAGTGATGAAGAGAAACGTGCAGGAGCAAGTGGAAGTGGAGAGGGTGATGATGACAATGGAGACATTCCTTTAGCGACTGACAGCAGCCCTGATGAGGACGAGAAAGAAGCTCCAGCTAAAGAGGAAGCTGACTCTGAAACAGCTGAACAAGCCGAAAAAGAAAGAAAACCAGAAGAAGCAACCGAAGAGGAGAGCGCAGAGGTAACTGTGAAGTCTGGAGAAACTGCTGAAAAGCAAGAGGACAACATGTTTGGTGCAGCTCCTGACACTGATCTCTCTGAAAGCGGCACCAAAGAAGGTGATGACAGTGTGGCAAAGCACAACGAATCAGCCGAACAAAACACAGAGCTGGAGACGTCTGACACAGAAATAAAGGAAGATCTTTTATTGGATGAGAACAAAGGCGACGAGGAAACGGGAGAAGAAGAAAAAGGCAAAAAGGCAGACCTGGACCATAAAAACAAGGCATTGGATTTGATCAAAAATGACAATAACGTTGAGAACATCAGTGAGGTTGCTCTTTCAGAAGATCAGGAAAGAGCTTCAGCACCAGTAGAAGATGATGGTGCTATGGTAGATCCGGAGAAGGCTGAGTCTGTGTCGGAGAAAAACCTTGAAACTAGAGTCGGGACTGAACTATCTGCAGCTGATGGAGAGAATAAAGGAACAGAGGAGGCCAGTAAGGCCTCAGATGAAGGAGTGAGTGTGCTTCTCAAACCTTCAACACAAAGCAATGTGGGGGGAGACACTCCAGAGGCCCTAACAAACAAAGACAATACAGATTTGGTCACAAGCTGGATACAAATGCACCAATCATCAAGGTACTTTGAGACATTTGTTGAGCCTTTAGAAGATCTGCAGGAGGACGTTTTAGATGTTAAAGTATCCAGCTTGGATTACAAAGAAACACCAATGGAGCTGCTGAAGTCAACAAGGATGTTTGAGGATGAAGAAAAATCAAAAGACAAAGCTCAAATAGAAACTGGGGACCTTGACAACACCCAAAGTGATCAATATGAAGAGAAGACCGAGGTAAAAGATCTGGTACCCAGGGAAGAAGATGACCAGAGTAGTCATGGTGGATCTGTGGATAAAGACGGAGCTGAAGATGGACCAGCAACAGAAACTCATGAGGAAAATACATTTTCTAAAACAGAAGTAGAAAGTGTCTCATGCTCTCTCAAAGCCGAGAGTGTTTTTGAAAACCAAAGTGTTAACGCCACCAATCTTAGATCAGATCTGAGTGCAGCTGACCTTCCATCAAAAACAAAAGAGCTTCATAAATCAGAGAGTCTGGATGAAACAGACAATCCACTACTTCAGGTCACGCAAACAGCCAAGCTGTCAACGCTGAAGCTGGATGATGGAAGCAAAGAGGAGCTCCAGGGTGAAGGTGTCCAGCCTGACACGTTTGAGGAACGTTTCAGAGAGAAGGGGGACATGCTCATCAAACAAACATTCAGTAAAGACCACCTGAGCACATTCTCAGTGGACAGAGCACTGTTTGCTCACACCTCATATCCTTTACTGACCACTTCAGGCACAGACAGCGGTCAGTAAAGACAAAGAAATACTTTGTTTTATTTAGTTTTGTAAAAACTAAATATATATATATATATATATATATATATATATATA